CCGAAACAGGCTTCCAGGTGAGTTGTGGAGCGGGAGCGATAACAGTAAGACTGCATGCTGCCGGTTGCTTGAGCAGCCGGGCAGCATGGAGGGTTGTGCATACAATCCATGTACAGCGGTATGGTGCAGGGCGGGTGCAGTGGTTTGAACAAGCGTAGTAAAATTGCATTGCAAACCGGCGTGCAGCAAGCGGCCCGCAGTGCGGGCTTGGCTAGGAAGAGCCACAGGGCGAGCATGCCCTTGGATATGCGTCTCGGCGGCAGTCGTACTGCGATGGACAGTCAGGCGGATCAAAGGGTGCTTTTTCAGGGTTGTCAGATTGTGGGGTCCTCGAGTTGAAGTAAGCAGACACAAAGTGATAGATGGACGGATGCATGGATAACTCTGCTTGCGGTTGGGGGTTGATGGCGCAGCTGGCTCGGCTGCTGGTGAGGCACCGAGAGCGCCTGCAGGTCTTGGGTGCAGCCAAGGGATACCACGTTTGCATGTGCCAGCTGCTGCAGCAGTGACACGCGTACCGCCTTCGAGCGTTAGCAAAGCTCGAAGGCGCTTGTAGGCTGGTGCATGCACACAGCAGGACCACGCGACATTGACTCATTGTGTGCATTTGCGGCAGTGTGTGTACACCCAGCCTCTCAGGTAGGCGTGGGTTGGCGAGTTTGGCACCAGCGGTAGGCGTCAGTAAACGGAGGCGAGCATGCAGGGTGTTGACAACGTGGCACGAATCATGTGTGTAGGGACATATCGACTGGCACTTGGTGGCACCCGTTGAGATCCAGAAATCTTTCACCAGAAGCACAAGCCAACCGCACAAGCAGCCGTTGAGCCCAGCGAGACTGTGTCATGGAAATTGTCACAGTCTTGAGCCGCAACCAGAGGCAAGAACTAAATTTCGCATGTGCCTGGGAGGCACAGCACCTCGTTCTCTTGATGATGCTAGGTGTGACTGGCTGACATAGCCCTGTTCATTGCTACCTGACACATCCTCCCCACCAAAAACTCGTAGGTTTGGCTGTGGCGCGCACGGACTGCCGCCGTCAGAGCCCAGATTGCCGCAGGAAAGCATCGAAATCGTCATCTGCTGCCCAGCAGTCTAGGAACGGGGCTCCGATGCCCTGCCTGTGGACCATACCCAGCTGTGCTGGTGGGGCCAGGGAGACAGACAACATCGATGGCATGAATACGGTCGCCCCTGGCATAAATGCCGCTGCGCCAGTTGGGGAGATGTCCACGCTTGGAAATGACTGCTGCGAGCCACATATGGAGCTGGCCATTGCTGCTGTGAGCGTCGACAAGTGGGGCTGGGGCGGCGCCAGGGACCACGCTTGCGTTGAAAACGCACCACGAGGGAGCTGCGGCTGCTGCACTGCGGGGGAATAAGATGCTGGCAAGCACGACGACAGCATCTGTGGTTCTGCCAGCCCGTCCCAAGGCGACAGCTGCACGACGGCTGACGACTCCGGCACATGCAGCTGTGCCTGCTGCAGCGCCTGTACTGACTGACGCCAGTGCTGCGGGGCTTCATGTGGCTGCTGCATGGCCATCTCCCAGATCTGCTTGTCAAGCATCGAGGTCTCTGTTTCTTCAAACGACAACTGATGCTGCCGCGGCTGGGACTCCAGCTGCATTTGCTGCTCGTGCTCCTGCTGCCACATCAACAACTGCTGGTGCTCCTGGGGCGATGGCAGCAGTGGCTGCTGCTGCTGCTGCTGCTGCTGCTGCTGCTGCTGGTGGTGGTTGCGGTGCTGCTGCTGCCGATGGTGGTGTTGATCGTGCTGCGGCTGCTGCGGTGGCAACTGCGACCTTGGGATCAGCAGTGGCGCCGATTGGAGGCCGCAGTTGTGCCCGGACGACTGACACTCATTTTGTGACGGCGGCGACGAGGAGGAAGGCAGCCGTACGAGTTGCATTTGTGTCGGGCCCTGCGCAGCGTGGCTTGGAGGCTGCTGCGCCTTTGATTGCACGATCTGCAGCAACACCTGCTTCACGTCTGGGGGGCAGGTGTTGGCCTGCACAGCTGCATCCAGGCGGTGGAGGAGCCCTGGTGAGATGGCGCCAGCTGTGTGGGCCAAGGACGAGGCGATTGAGACGGGGTTTGTGAGACTTTGAAGTGTGCAATTGTGAATCAACGGCTGCAATGATCAAACGTTCAAGGTGGACACGCCCGGGACACCGTTATGCTGAATTAGTCGAGCCCAATCCCTCCAGAGTCTCTGCTCCATACCTGGTGCGAGGCATGTGGGCTATGACAGTGTATGCAACGAGGTCTTGTTGCATGAGAAAGCGCCTGCAGCCACGCAACTAGTGATCACACAAGCAAGCGTACTCACCCCTCACAATCTCCAGCAGTTGCGGCACATTGGGCAGGGTCCCGCCAAGTTCCGCCAACGATATGGGACGCGACAGCCCCCCCTCCTGCACATTTGCAAGGGTCCCGGGCGCAGCTGCTTTGCAAAAATGCGGGGGCAGGCTTTGCAAACTGCCTCGAGTTGGAGCCGGAAAGCCGATGGGCCTAGCAGCGGGTCACGTGGGGCTAGCTGCGTGCCGGAGCTGGCTGCACGTGCGTGACAGCCTTGCGACAAGGGCGCCCTGCGAGGCCCTCCACACACCTTGCATACTTCCTCCGAGTCGACATGCGACAAGAACCACCCAGTGTGCGCTGGCGCAAGCCAGCCGTTGCGCGCGGCCGCGCGCAGGCGCTGCTCCTCCTGGCGCTGGTCTGGTGTCTGCTGCTGCGCGGGGATGACGTCCACCAGCGCGCCGCGGCGCAGGAGGAGGCCTGCGTCGAGTGCGCAGGTAGGCACTGGATGAGCGGAGGTGCGTGCACGCCTGCGCTGAAACTCGTCGTCAAACCTTTTTACTGCCAGCAAGGGGGCAACCCCAAAAAATGGGGGGCAAAACTGGCAAACAGAGTGCGTGCCTTAGAATCTGCAAGGCCGAAAATAGAACAGCAGCCAAGGGGCGCGGCCAGATGTCAACGGGGTTCAGCCACACCAAATCGTGATCCTTCCAAGCAATGCAAATCACCCCCTCGCCTGCGGGGCGGTCCAGGTCAACCTTGGCCTGGGTGCAGAGGAACAGCAGCCCGCGCTCCATTGACCTGCGTGGGAGCAGCAAAAGCCAGGGGAAGGACAAGGGAGGCACTTCAAAAAGTTGCACTGGCGGATGCAGGACTGGTTGAGGACCTCAAGGGTCTGCCGTGAAACGCAGCGACAGGCCAGCACACGCGTCTATGTGCTGGAGTGGGCGCCGTCGTCCTCACCTTGTGTCCTCGAACCAGACCCTTGTGCGGCTGTCCGGCTCCACGGCTTGGCCCACGTGCTCCACCACCTCCTCCCAGGCGTCCTCGCCCAGAACCAACAGCTTCTGGAGCTGCGATTTTATGGGGCAGGGGGCAGCGAGGGTGGGGGCATGACATGCGCGGGGTGCGTGTGGAGGTGAAGTGCTTTGACTAAGGCGCCAGGGCAGGATCCTTCTACGCTGTTGCACGGGTAGTACAGGCGTGCATGCTGCGCAATATGGCGAGGCACAGGACTTGGGCTTGGGTTGGTTGAAAAGCCTGTCGCGCCTGATGGCGATTCGGAGATGTGTCCCACCCCCACTCAAGATGGGCCTGCTCACCTGGGCTCTCAGGGCGCTGTTGGCAGACGCAAGTGCGAGCAAGCCCTTCAGCTGCCCCACGTGCGTGATCGAAGTCGCGAAGCCGGCTGGAAGTTGCAGCTCCATGCGTTTCTGTGAACAAGGTGAGTAGGGCAGGCAGGTGCAAGGGCGCTCAAACCTTGAAGCATTGCATTGAGGCACATACATCATTTGCACTGCCTCGTGTAGCTGAGCAGTGCGGCAATGCGCGGGGTGCTGCACAGATCAAACATGCAATGCAGTGAAATTTTCTGCAACCACTAGTTTGGGGTTGCTGCAAAAGACCAGCTTGTTTTGAGTGTGCAAGGCAGGTACACAAAAAGCAGGGAGTGAAGATTATGAGGGAGGCAGGTAGGGGGGGGGAGGCAGGAGAGGCCCAGGGACAATAGCAATATGACGAGCGCAAGGAGGACCTTTTCAGGCACAGCCCTTTTCCACAACCATTTCCATTCATTGGTCCTGCACCTCTGCTGCTGCTGCCCGGAGGTCCTTGAGCTTGGCGCATGCTGCCTTGCCGAGGTTGACGATCCCCCTGGCCTCGTCGGTCGTCAGCGGCAGCTCCACCTTCACATCGCCCTTCATGCGCGCCGTGGCCACAGCAAACCCCTCGCTGATCGCCGGCCGCATGTTGATCAGAGATGCACTGGCGTCAGCTGATACATCGGCGGCGGTGCCTGAGGCATCGGTGGATCCGCGGAGGCGGGCGCGGACGAGGATCCTGAACTGAGGCTTCTTGCCCTTTCCCTTCAGAAGCTGCTCGCCGCTGGCGTTGATCTTTGGGGCGGAGGGCAGCGGTCACAGTAAGGTGGGGTGGGGTCGACAACTTTGAGCGGGCAGGGGCAAACGGGTGGCCGCGAGCCACAGTAATGTCATCGCACCACAGCGATGACAAGGCCGCTGTTTGCATGTGTATCTGGCGCTAGCTTGTGCACAGTTACGGTGCTTTATTTTGCAGAGCTCGAGTTTGCTGGCGGCACTGAGCATGCAGGAGCTTGGCGTGGAATGTCGACACGCGGACCGGCGTGCGCGCACCCGGAGATCTGGCAGCGTTGCGCAGCCGTCCAGGATCTGCATGTCCAGCGTCGACACGCCGCCCCAGCCGCTGCGACCGCCGCAGCTCAAGTCGGCCGGCTGCTGGCCGCCCATAAGGGCGAGCAGGGCACCTCCGTTGGCTGCTGCGGGGGGGAGGCTGATGGCTTCTATGTCCGCCTCGCTGGCGCGCGCGAGCCTGAGGGTGCGCGGAGTCAAGGGTGGAGCCTCCACTGAGTGAGGCGACATGATTGCAGGTCTCAGCAGGGCAATTCTGATGGATTTAAAGGGGCCATCAAGAATGGGGGGCCTGGAAGACAACAGGACAGCTGGGAGCGTGGCACCATGCCACCAACGCAGTAGTGCACCATGCAGCAAATGAGCAAGGCGATGGGGACGGCTGCACCTGCTGACGATGCCACGAAATGACTGCTGTTGGTTTCAGAAGCACGCAGGCCCCCAACACAGGTGTGCTGGGCCTGATGAGCGGCTCTCGGACGCTGCCGTGAGCAACGCCCAAGAGTACGGGTCTGGCGCTTGGCTGGGCAGCGCGCCCGCATTAAAGTGCGGGAGGCCTTCCTGGCTCTATCTCACCCGGCGGTCTGGTCAGCAAAGCGCGCCTCGTACAGTGCTCCCTCCACCACGCGGAGCTCGAGGTACAGCTTATTGGGCAACACCCCAGTGTAAAGCTCGCCAGTGCGGCGGCGCACCAGCTCCAACCGCAGCGAGCCACCGCAGCGCGCGGCCAGGCGGTCGCCGACCAAGTAGCTGCGGCCCAGCTGCCGGCTGCACGGGCGATCGGGGCTGCGCTCGCAGAGCGGGCAGGCGGCGTCGGCACAGCCCTGAGCCCTGCGCGGGTGTGATGGGGCAGGGATAGAAGCGGAGCAGCGCTTCGAGGCAGCGAGCTGCGGGATTGGCAAGTAGGGCGCCCCGCCTATCTAGCGATTCGGCGGGGCGCTGGCGACTGCACTTTGGTAACGCGCCGGCCACATACAGGGCAGGGTGGTGGTGCATTCCGCCGACCAGTCGCGCTCCGTGCCGATGGCGCCCAGCAGCAGCCTGCCCCGCTCACTGGCAGTCGTGCGCAAAACGAAGCTGCAGGTCGAGCGCCTCAAAGGCTTCCGTGCCTGCCGCCGTCTGCCCGGCCACTGTCTGCGAGCCGCCGCCAGCGGCACCGCTGTTCGTGCCGCTGCCGCCACCGCTGTCGCTGGTAGTGTCGTCCGGCGGGGGGAGGTCCTGGAGGGCGGAGCCAGCAGCGCGCTTGATGGTGTTGAGAAGCCCAGGCGAGAGCTCCTCAGACTCCAGGACGGCCTCAAGCTTCGCCAGAAAACGCTGCACGCGCCCCTCATCGCAGCTCTGACGCTGCAAGGTGGGATTTGGGGGAAAGGACCGGGGCCGACGGGCGGACGCCAGGCCACGTGTGGGGTGGTGCGCAGGGCACGCGGGCGTGGCAGGCACTGGGCGGGTCACGCGGCGCGAAAGGTTACCCCCTCAAACCATTACGCCTGGTGTAACGTGAGCAGCCGCAACTGTGGCAGTGCGGCCGTGCTAAGATGCATGTGTGTGTTGAAGGAGATTAATCACGTTGCTGCTTGGCCGGAGTGCGTGGGCGCCTGCGCCAGTATGAACAAACCACAATATCTCCCACAAATTGTGTGCTTGCGCTGCGCTTCGCCCCAGGGCACGCACCTTCGTGACTACGGGTCGCACTGTTAGTGCATCTACGCATCGCTTGGTCCCTGTGACGACCTGCCGTGACGGCTGGCTGCTCGTGGACGATGGGTCGGTCGAGTGCCCCGGGGACGCCATACTTACCGCGCCTGAGGTGGGTGCAGCCTGCATATACGACCAGTCTTATAAGGCACATGATTTGAAACTCCCCAACTATCTGCTCGCAGCAGGTGAAGCGCTTTCCATGCATGCACGATGTTCATGGATGTCAATCGGGCTTCACGCCCTAACCACACCGAGCCGAGCCTCGCGAGGGGGTCTCCATGGCATACGGATGTGTGATAATGTAAGTAGAGCAAACTTTAGCGCAGCCCCCCCTGGGGCGGAGCCTGGATTCGTGTCGTTGTTTGTGGCCTTCCGCCCAGTTGCCCACGGGTGTGTAGCTTTGCGTGCAGGGCGCTGAATTGGGTGCATTTGGGTGTGTCGGATAGAACAAATCATTGTGATTATAATAGGGCTTCAGGAGAACATTCCCGTGCTCTGCACGCATAGAATGAATCATGAGTTCTCACCACTCTGTTGTGTGGGGGCCGGGCGTCGCCTGGAGGGCGGCCGGTGGGCTGGCCGGCACACCTAGAGTGTTTCAATGCTCCTAAGCATCTCCTTTTCGGGTGTTCACGGCTCGGCAGCGTGCGGCGTGCATGGGACGGTCAAGCACCTCAAGCCCAGCTGTCAGAGGCCCGCGGCACCTCGATCGCGCCATCGCGTGGGTGTATACAGTACATAATTGGTATACGCATTACTTGGTGCACCTGCTCATATCTAAATGCTCCGGGCTTGCGCCTTACTCGGAGCTGGATGCTTCCCGGAGGCACTCCCACCCTGAGTCCTTGCACGGCTCGCATGTAGAACTGCTTAAGAACTATTGTGGCACGTATGTAGCGCTTCCAGTGGCGCCAGTGGGCGCAGCGGCAGTGGCGCTCGACAGCGCGCAGCGGCGTCCGCATGGCTGCTACCATGTCAACGGCGCACTGGGATTTATGGTGGCATGAATTTCACCTTGACTGCTGTGACCTGAGCAAGTGAGTGACTGTGCCTGTCTCGGTTGTTCGCACGCTGGCGTACGTGCTTTGGGGGCGCACGGCATCGTCAAATGGGCCGCGCATGGGAGACGCTTGCCGCCCCCACCCTCGATTTGCCTCTTCTCACAACAATTCTGCCGCAATCTGCGGGTGGCAGCACGCGGCGGTCGTTGCGCGGGGAGCGAAAAGGCGTGAGCGTCGTGGGGGCGCCAGCCGGCCAGTTGGGCGGCGCGACCCCACTCCAATTTGTGCACCGGCTAATTCCAAAGTCCTTTAAAAACAGGGGAGCAGGTCGCCCGTTGCGATCGATGAGACAAGAGAGGCAGCGAAAGCGAGGTGCAGGGACAACACCAACATCAGGCAAAACAGAGGTTACAACAGTTTGGGTACACGCAGTCAGCCCATCGATCTCTACATACACGTCTCCCGCGTTCAGTACCCGTGTGATGCGTGCTACCGCAGCCTTCTGGCCCTAGGTGATCGTTTTGTCAAGCTGCTGCCGAAGTGCGCTCATCAGTGGGCGTGTCGATGCGGTTGTCGCATCGAGCAAGTCAGCTAGCCCATCCACTCCAGCAGGCCATAGTTTTTTCAGGGAATTGGGCGTGGCGGCCGGCGCGCCGCCCAAGCGGATCATGAGCCACTCTGTGAGCTGCTGCGACAGGTATTTGGGTTTTCGATCGCTCGCATCGTTTGCCAGGAAGAGGCCCAACGGCGCGCGATCAGAGACGCCGTCGCGAGGCAGCCCCTTGGTTAGGATCAGGATTAGGATTGTTACAAGATCCCGCGGTCGCCCGCTCCTGGAGCCATCCAGGCTCATGGGATATGACTTGGTAGCATCAGCATTGTGTGACAGGGATTCAGGGGGCCACTGTTCGCCGTTCAAAGCAGGCGTGCACAAAGGCCCCGAGGGTCCGCACTGCGCACAAGGGCGCGCATGCGGGCATGTGCAGGCAGGTCCGCAAACAAGGGTGCAAAGCGCGGCGCGGCCCGCAGGTCCGCGTAGGCAGGGCAGTCGAGCAGGGCATGTTCAGCCGTTTCGTCAAGGCCGCGGCCATCGCAGTGGGGGCAAAGGGTGGGGGTGTTGTAATGCAGTGTTGGCGACGCTGCAAAGGGGGGAGAGCAGCAGCGCAGGCGCATGAGCGCCCGCGCGTGTTGGTGGTTCCGGAATCGGGACGCGTGGCGGAAGTAGTAGGGCATGCGAGGCGGGAAGCCGGCCTTAGGCACCTCATCAGCATCGCCCGCGGCAAAACAAGCCTCATACTCCGCGCAAGCACCAGCGCCCTGCTGGACGGCCCGTGCAGCCCGGTTGGCTAGCGCATGATCCCATGCATGCACTTCCCACCCTCCCAATTGCTGGCGAAGGCCCGCCATCGCCGCCGGGCCCTGAATCAGGGTGTTGTGCACCCCGGCCGCATAGGCCGCCACAAAGGCGCCAGGGGCGCCCCCCTCGGCTGCTAACCAATCAAGTGTGTGCAGCCACGCGCCGCTCCACGTGCGACGCGCCCGTGCCGGGCTCAGAGAGCAGGCTAAGGAGAGCTCCCCCACAAACGCCCATTTCAAAACCCCCTCGTCAGACTTGATCATACGGTTCCATTGCCGCGCGCCTGCGCGCAGCCACGCGCACGCGAGCGGCTGCAGGCCGCTCTCAACGCAAAGGATCGTGGCAGGCACGCTGCGCCGTACCCCCCCAGAGGTGCCGGACGTAATTGTTTTGCGGGACTTGCAACGGTGCCTTGAGGGCGTCGTCCATGCTTCTCAGCAGGTCAGGGCCCCAGACCTCCGCCCCGTAGGTAAGGACGGCCTAAGCGGCGGGGGTGCTTGAGGCGGCCTAAGCGGCGGGGGTGCACAACACCCTGACTCAGGGCCCGGGTGCAGTGGTGGGCCTCCGCCAGCAATTGGGAGGGTGGGACGTGCATGCACGGGACCATGCGCTAGCAAACCGGGCTGCACGGGCGGTGCTTGTGCGGAGTATGAGGCTTGCTTTGCCGCTGGATTGATGAGGTGCCTGAGGCCGGCTTCCCGCCTCGCATGCCCTACTACTTCCGTCTGCCACACAACCTGATTCCGAACCACCAACACGCGCAAGCGCTCATATGCCCGCGCTGCTTCTCTCCCTCCTATGCGGCGTCGCCAACACTGCATTACAACACCCCCACCCTTTGCCCCCACTGCGACGGCCGCGGCCTTGACGAAACGGCTGAATATGCCCTGCTCGACTGCCCTGCCTACGCGGACCTGCGGGCCGCGCCGCGCTTTGCACCCCTGTTTGCGGACCTGCCTGCACATGCCCACATGTGCGCCCTTGTGCGCAGTGCGAACCAGCATACACACGGGGCCTTTGTGCACTCCTGCTTTGAACGGCGAACAGTGGCCCATTGAATCCCTGCCACACAATGCTGATGCTACCAAGTCATATCTGATGAGCCTAGAAGGCTCCAGAAGGGGGCGACCGTGGGATCTCAGATCGGCTTGTGACGATCCTGATCCTGATCCTTGAGCTAGAAATCGCTGTAGCCCACAGGTGGTGGTATGCCCAGCGGGTGTGGTTCTTGTATGTGAGCGCGTTTGCGTCCCTCTTCTGGGGTGCGAGTGCTGTTGGGCTGTTCCTGGCGGGCGTCAGCTGCGTCAGAACGGTCACTCCCCCGTCGTGAGCTGCTCAATGGACTTCCTTGAGTCAATGCAGACAGCCCTGCCTGCCCTCTGCTCCGCTGAGTGCTAAGAATTCAAAACTGGGTGGGGGGGGGCGCTGAAAAAGGGGTTGAGCCCTATGCGCAAACACTGGTCAGCCTCCGGGCAACGGCTGCATCATGAGCCACGCCTGCCCCTGCGTCACCCAGCTTCGCCACAGCTGCTCTCCCTCAAAACGCTGAAATTTGGAGCGCTGAGCGAGTTTGTTGTTCGTAATTAGAAGTTCGAGACTTATAGCAATTCTCCCCTATAACCGTAGTAGTCAATACCTATGAGACTGGGGCCGCGCGGCGTGCTCGGGTGGCTGGGCAGTGTTGCCACCTGCAGAGCGCGCAGCAGCGCATTTTGCCAAGCGAGGCCGAGCACAGCCATGTCGAAGGTGGGCGACATGTGCCTGCGGCCCGGCTCTGCCCGTGCGCCTGGCCCTCCCACCCACGCACCCGTACCTCCGACAGCCCCAGCGCCCGCAGCCGCGCCAGGGTGCCTGGAGCACCGCCTCGACTGCCAGCAGCCGCGCGTGGCAGGGCAGCACGCGGTTCGCGACCTCGCGGTCCGACTGGGGGCCCGAAATTCCTTAAGAATAAGATGGCGCAGTCTGGCAGCAGCGCCGCGAGGAGGAGGGCGCGCGGTCGCAGGGAGGGCGCGGCGGGGCGCTCGGGTTTGCGGAGGGCGGCAAAGGGCGGGGGGGGGGGGCGAACGCGAGGCAAGCGGCGACGGGGGCGTGCTGCAGGACGACCACGGCTGCGTGCATGCATGCAGAAGGGTATGAGGCGGGCGCACGCCAAGCAGGGGCGGCTGAGTACGAGCGTGCTGTCCTCAAACTCAGCGGTTGGGCGGGCAGCAGGCACTCAGGGCAGAGGCCTGTTTGGCGCCAGCCGCGCGGCACGCCAGGCCGCCCCACCCGCTTTGAACACGTCTGTGGAGGCCAGCGTTGCGTGCTGATACCGCAGCACCGACCACACGACGTCGTCTGTCGCCCACGCCTGCAGGCGTGGCGGCGCCGGCCGGCGTCGGCGCGGGCGGCCGGGCAACGGCGAAGCAGCTTGGGGCGCCGCGAGCAGGTGCTTTCGGGCTGCAGGCACCCCGCGGTTCGCAGGCGGGCCGGGCTCGCTATGTGAGGCAGCCGCACCTCCAAGAAGGTGATCCAAGACTTGAGGTCCAGTCGCAGCGCCTGCGGCGACCCCACTGCGATGTCGCGCACGTGCCGCGGCTTGAACCGCGCCGCCAGTGCTGTCAATGAGGCGCGCAGCGCGGCCTCATCCGCACCGGCGAGCGCAGGCGCCGCAGCCGCGGCGTCGGCCTCGGTCAGGGCGCCGCATTCAATGAGAATCGAAACGATACGCTCGTCACGCCCGCTTGTGCTGGGCTGGGCGTCCGCCTTTGCAGCTCGAGCTGCATGCGCCGCAGGCGTGGACCGCACGCGCCTAGCAACAATGCTGCCACCACGCTGCTTGACCGATCCCGAATTTCGATGCATGAGTTTCCTTGTCACGCAAGACATGCTCCCAGCCGTTATCCTGTTTGGCTGAGCTCTTTTTGCACGGAACCGCTGTTCGCGCGTGCAGATCTGGGATCTGAAAGCATTCAGAGTAATCTGACTGCAAATTCATGATGAATTTTTTTCGATGCAATTCAGCTGCTGCACACAGCGGGGTGACCGCGGCAAGTGATACACATTGTGCAAGTTGTTCTCCATATGGGTCTACCTTTGTGGCGATTGTGTAGCTGTTGTATGGTTCTTCTGTTTTGAGGCGCGCGGTCCCTGTCAGGTCAGGTTCCTGTGGCAGAGCGAGCATTTCTTGATCTCAGCCCGCCAGGGCAGCCGCTTCGCGCCTAGACAGGCGCGGCGGGGTCTTAGGAGTGCAACATGCGGCCTGTAGGAGCGCTTCATCATGCGCGCAGCGCGCTGCGAGGATGGGGCGCAAGCAGTGGCTGGCGCATCCAGCAGCGGGCACTGCGGTCGGCGCCACCCACGCTCTTCTACGCCCGCGGCACCGGCAGCCCGCACGGCGCCAGGCCCGCGCTGTACGAGCAACAGTGCTTCGCGCCCCGCTGGCTTGTGTGCTCATTGTACAGCGACGCGGGGGCGTCCGTCGCCGTCGCGGCGAGCGCCGCTGAGGCGGAAGCCAATGGCGCACCCGAGGCGTCCGAGGCTGCGGAGGAGCAGGACGCCCAGGCGCACCAGCTGCGGCAGGAGCAGCAGCAGCAGTGGGAGGCCGAGCTGGAGGAGACCCTGAAGCTGGTGCACCTGCTGCCTGAGTCAGGTGCCCGGGGAGGCCAAGAAGCATGCACTGATTATGGATATTTTGGCCAAAAGGGTGAAGAAACGGATGTGCGGCACATGAGTTCACACGTACGTGCAGACAGGTGTACTTCGTCGTGTTTAGCGGAGGGTGTCTGTGTTCAAAGTGGTGGCAGCTGTGGGTTCGAGTCCGTGGGCGGATGGGACCACCCCGGCCCTGCAGCAGCAGGCAGTGGGTTTTGGCCCACCCACCCCCACTGTGCCACTGCGCAGCAGCGCCGGGCCTGATTGTGCAACAGGCCGCCCACAGGCCGACAGGAGGGGCTTGAGCCGCCGTGCCAATCCCCCTACGCTGCCTGGTGACGTGGCATCGCCCCACTCACCCTTCCCTCACACTTGCACACACTTACACACACACACACACACACATATACACACACACACACACACACACACACACACATGCACACACACACACACACGCACACACACATGCAGTGCGCACCGCCCTGGAGTCCCATGACCGGCTGTACGAGCTGCTGGAGGTGGTGATGGACCTGGGGCGGCCCCCGTTGGCACGCTTCCCCTCTGGTGACCTGCGGCTGAGTGACAACCTGGTGACGGCGGAGGACCTGGAGCAGGCAGTGGCTAAGGTACGCGCGCCTGCGCGCGTGCGTGTTTGCCGGCCGGCGCGGGGGCGCGCAGGGGCGCGGGCGTGCGCCCCGCTCAAGGGAGAAAGAGATTGTGTGTTTGTGTGCTTTTCTTGCATGTGCGATGTGTATTGATTTGCGTGTGTGATTTTTGTGTGTGCGTGTGTGTGTGCATGCGCAGGAGTGAGTGTTGTGTGTGTGCGGGGCTGCGGGGAGAGGGTGCTAATCTCCACTTATGAATGAAGGTACGACCCAAGCCTTGCGGCTGCGGGGCCGGAGTCCCTGGGGGCCGAACGGCGTGTGTAGGGCCGCCTTGCTGCAGTGTGCCACCACGGGTAGAGCGCGCCTGCTGCGCGCTGGAGGTTGCCCCACCCCCCGCGTGCCTCATGCGTTCGATTCTCGCTTGGCTGGTCTTGAGCGAAACAGCTTCACGATCATGCCCCCGCGCACCACAACCCATAAGGGCGCGCCCCCCCCCCTTACTAAGAACAACTCAAGATGATCCTACAATGACTGACAACGATTCACCAACCCTCCGCCCAGGTCGGCGAGTTTGGCGGCGACAACCGCGCCGGCATCGACGCCACGCTGCACCGCATCAGCGCCATGCGCAACCGCTCCGGCCGCATCGTCGGCCTCACCTGCCGCGTCGGGCGCGCGATTACGGGCAGCGCGGAGCTCGTCAGGGACCTGATTGTCGCGGGCTCCTCAATCCTGTTCCTGGGCCGCCCCGGCGTCGGCAAGACGACGGCGATCAGGGAGCTGTGCCGGCTCTGCGCGGACGAGCTGAGCAAGCGGGTCGTGATCGTGGACACTAGCAACGAGATCGGCGGCGACGGGGACGTGCCGCACGCGGGGATCGGGCGGGCGCGGCGGATGCAGGTGGCGGACCCCGAGCAGCAGCACAGGGTGATGATCGAGGCGGTGGAGAACCACATGCCGCAGGTGGGGGGATGCATAAGAGTGTGTGCGCTCGGCGCATGTGCGCGTATGAGCTGTAGCGTGTGGGTGTGTTGTGCGCGTGTGTGTGTTTGTATGTATGTATGTGGGGCGGAGGGGGGTGGCTGTGGCCTTGGTTGCACTTCAGGCCCATCCTGGGCTGCAGAGGGTTCACCCAAGGTGGGGAAGGTGTGTGTTCAAGCACAGTCAGCCGCTGCTTGGGGCTAGGTGCCGCAGCCGCTCGGCGCCCGAGGGCTATGCTGTCGGATGCGCGCCGCCGGCGCCCTTCTTCACGCCGCCGCCAACTCACCAGGCGCCGGCAGGCATGCGCGCATCCCCACGAGCATCTTCGACCAGCACGCCTTGACAGTGCCTCCTCCTACGTCTCCCCCTCCCTCCCTCCTATGTTGGCCGTTCCTTTCTCCCCCCCACCCCAACCCCAAACCCTTGACTCTGAACCCCAAACCCCAGGTGGTGGTCATCGACGAGATCGGCACGGAGGCGGAGTGCTCCGCAGCGCGCACCATCGCGCAGCGCGGCGTCCAGCTGTTTGCGACGGCCCATGGCAACGAGCTGGAGAACGTGGTGAAGAACCCCGCGCTGTCAGACCTGGTGGGAGGCATCCAGAGCGTCACACTGGGTGGGTGGACGACCCCCCCCCTGGCGCGCGGGGGCGCGGGCTGCATGATGGGGGCGGCCGGGCTGGGTGGCGGGTCGCGCGGGGGCAGCGCGGAGGGGGCCGGGGCGCAGCGTGTATTCACGCGCCGTCAGCAATGATGCAGTGGGGGGCTGTGGCGCCGGCTGCGGGCCCTGTGTGTTGGCTCCCCGCTCGCCTGAGCGACACCTGGACTGGTAGGTGTGCAAGCGGGGTGCCGAAATTCACACAACCAAGCGCCCAGCCCGGCCCAGCCCGCTGCGCCCCCGCCTGAAAGCCCCGGCGCCGCGCCGCGCCCCCCCCCCCCCCCCCCC